CCCCAAAACCCCAAAACCCCAAAACCCCAAAACCCCGAGATGAGTAAATTAATGTTAGATTAAGGCAGCTCGTAATAAAAATAAATAAATATATATAATTTGAATTCGTTACTTTAATAAATAGAAATAAATGAGTGAGTCGAGGCAGCATAATCTGGCCATTCAAACTAATACTCTTAATGTCAATAAATACTCAGAACCAGGTCAAGATGAATACTCTACAAATAGCACGAGTAAATAGTTAATTGATGGGCATTCTCATAAAGTATATCCAGAAAGTCCAAAAACTCACAGGCCTGCCTTAGACAAAAACATAGCAGTAAAATAAATAATACAAAATAATGAAACTTATAGATTTGACCTTAATTAATAGACGATTAATAGACATCAACTCCAACCAAACTAATAAAAGACAAAGAACTTAAAAAGAATAAGATAACAGTATCTCGAAACTATCTTTTAATGGATAAAGTAGAACTAGAGAAAAATGGTATTATAGGATGGAAATTGAACCTAGCCATGTTGTTGCGTTCTAAGGCATACGATCTTTTAATGATCATACTAATTGTTCTCTATACGATTCTAATTTTCATCTACTTCGCATTTGCTGATACATACTTTTCAGATGAAAGCAATTAAGTCGTATTTTATATTATAGAGCTATCAATTTTGGGTATATTCTGTGTGGAGATAGGATTACATCTTATAGCTTTTAAGTCACTTTATTTGAAGGATTTTTGGAACATCTTCGATCTTTTCATAATTATTCTGAGTTTGACTTTTGTACTTCTAGATATTTTTGTAGAAAATTCAGTTTTAGATGGAATTTTAAAAATAAGAGGAATTTTTAGATTGCTGAGAGTCTTCTTGCTAGTAAGAAAGTTAAATACTCTTAGAGTAAAAAGACAAATACAGCTACGCTAACTTACAGCAAATGGATACGATCTTAGATCTCCATTGGAAAGAGTATTAGAGATTCTTAATGGGCTTAGGGATTAATTAGACATTGAAGAGACAAAAATCATACAAGATCTTAACTACTGTATAAAGGTTATTTCTTCAAATTAGCTGTATGAGGCGAATTTAGACTTTGATGGCTAGTTAGAAAATACTAAGGACAGAAATGAGGTACAGATGCTGCTGCAAAATTATTCTAAAGTTGCCAACGAAAATTAAGAGTAAAAAAAATAAAGAAGGATGTCAAAATCACCGACCATTGGAGGATTAAACCACTGGGATGATTCAAAGTTCTAAATAACAAACGATAAGATTGACGAAATGCTAGTATTGAACGAATAAGCCAAAGCAGAATTAGAAAATTTATAAAAACTAGAGTTTAACATCTTCAAAATACAAGACTACACCTAATAAAATGAATTAATCACAGTTACCAGCTATATTTTAGCTTAGCAAAATATATTCTAAACGATTCAGCTTCAGTACAAGACCTTTAGAAATTTCATAAGTAAAGTATAAAGTGGGTACAAGGATGTAACATATCATAACAAGACTCATGCAGCTGATCTTAGCTAGGTAAATTTTAAATCAAATAGATATTAATTTTAAAACTAATTTAATATAGACATTCTACTACTTCTCTCACACTTAAGGTTTAAAAGAGAAATGCAACATTGATGATGTAGAATTCTTCAGCTTGATAGTAGCTGGTGCTTGTCATGATCATGAACATGCTGGATATAATAATGTTTATCTTGTCGAAACATAAGATACTTTGGCCTTAAGATATAATGGTAAATATAAAAGATTTGATTACTTTTACTTATTGTACATAATATAGATGTTTCAGTGCTTGAAAACCATCACGTTGCGTCATCGTTCGCAATAATGCAGGAACCTGGCATGAATATCTTAGCTCACCTTTCCAAGGAGTAATATAAAAGATCAAGGGCTGTAATGATAGGCAGTATCCTGGGAACTGACATGTCCAAACACTTTAGTGAGCTAGGTAAGTTCAAGACTAGAGTAGGATCTCAAGAGTTTGATCCATCTGGAACCGACAAAGATCTCACATTAACCATGCTTTTCCATTTAGCTGATATTTCTAACTCAACAAAACCTTGGGACATATGCTAAAAGTGGATAGATTTGCTATTCATTGAATTCTTCCATTAGGGTGATCTCGAAAGAAATCGAGGATCGCCTATTAGCTACTTAATGGACCGCCTTACTGTTAATATAGCTAAAGCATAAATCGGTTTCTTAGATGTTATTATTGCTCCCTCTTATCAAGCTGCCAATCTAGTAATTCCAATTCCTTCTAATCTTTCCAATATTGAAAATAACAAGGCAACTTGGTAGACTAAATTCGATGAGTATGAAGATTAAATGAATAGAGATAAGGAAAGGTTTAAACTGACAGCTCTCAAACTTTGAAAATTATAGCATATTATATTTAACCTATTCTACTGTAGATTCATTCAAAATCATTAAATCATTTACGATCTACTATTAAACAATACAGTTTTAAGGGGTTTTGGGGTTTTGGGGAGATCGGAAGAGCACACGTCTGAAC